GAGCCCCTTGGAGCCGGAGGGGCCGCAGTGCCAGTGGTGCGGGGGGCTGAGGTGCTGCGGGGCAGCCGGGCAGAGACCTCTTTGTTCTCAGCTGCCGTTTGCACCCGTGTCCCCGGCGATGGGAACCTTGCAGGGAGGCTCTGGCTGGCTGGAAACACTTGCCCTGGCTGTTAGACTCTCCTGGCCATTACATCTGCTCCAAGACTTGCAATGTTACTTCTTTCACTGTGCTGTGTAGGAAATTGAGTCTATTTCTGTTTAAATACTGGGGTAATAGAACCTGCTATTTAGTGCAAGATTTATGTAAATGGCTCTTAGTTTCACACGGTTGGGCTTTACAGAGTGTAAGTTACATCGATAATGTAATTATCCACGACTGCCATTTCAAAGCAGCACGTCGTGGAGAAGCCTCCAATTTCTCTATAGAATAGACTTGAAAACCTTGCAGTTTTAAAATCAACTTTTATTTTGTGATAAGAAAAAATAGTAGAGCTGGATTACAGAACAGCCTGTTCTGGAGTCGTTGACCTTTTTGGCTTAGAACCCAAGTTTTCTTTTATGTCAGAACCCTGGAGCACCTATTACTGCACATCATAATTGCATTGCCTAAACTCAGTTAGCCTTAACATGCAATTTCCCCACCTTTCTTAAAGCTTCTTAGTTTGTTTAATGTCAGTCTCGTAAACAGAATTACTTCGGTCTGGCATTTGTATTAACATGGAGGTTACAGTAAGTTTTGAGTATTAGTTGATTTCAAGAAATGACCTTCTGCTTTACAACGTAGAGTTTGTTATTCAGCTGAACGTTGATTGCTTTTTGCTGTGGAGAGTAGGGTCCTCGTAGCCTTCTGTGTCTCATTTCTAGCCAGAGTAGTTTTCTAAGTTCCGAAATAGTGATTTCATCCCTAGAAGTCCAGTTCTTGCGCGTACATTTCTTATGTAGGGTGTTGCCCTAAAGGCAACCTGTACAATTTAGATACCGTTCCTTTTCAGTAGGGATCCTGGAGCCAGGATCTCTTTCTTCCAGCGTCTGTACGATACAGCAAAAGCTAGCATCTCCCCTTCAGGTGATTTTTCTGATAGTGGTGTTGTGGGTTTTCTGTTTGTTTTCTAATCTTACTAAATTTTTATTTTCCACTGACTTGAATGGGGAATGCAGGTTGTTAATATGAGGCAGCTCATACCACAGAGAAGCTGTGAAACTGCTCCTGACTTGACAAGTGGCAGCTAGCAATTTTCTTTTACTCAGGTAAGAAATGGTAGTCTCTGCCTTATGTGGTTTTGTCACAGTATCGCAGTCACGTGGAGAAACATGTCACGGCTGTAGAAACAGCGGGAGAGAAAACAGGTAAGTTGCCTGGCTTTTCTTACAGAGCTACTTAAAATTATCCATAACCTTTAAAATTAATTATGTAATAGTTGTATTTCAATGGAAGCTGGGCACTGCGGACACACCTGGGATTCCTGTGTGGTGGAGACTGTATAAGCAAGACCCCCTCCCCCAAAGTGTGTGTTTTGCCTGCATTTAGTATTTGAACTTTCCGCTTATCCCGAGGCTGTTGGACACATTATGCCAGGTTTCTCTGTAGTATATTCTTTTGTTGTGTGGTTCCTTGGCGTTTCTGTGATGGTTTCCATCTGCAGTGCTCTCAGATCAGACGTAAGGCCCCTGGAAGGAGGCAGAGTGAGATGTGTGGATCGAGCCCCGGGCGCTCCGCAGGCATCGCGCTGCCTGGCTTTCATGGTCCCTGCCTTCGCAGGGATCGCTTGCTGTTTTCCTTCCCACAGGAGGCGGTCCTTCCAGTAATGGGGGAATTGCACGGTGGTCTTGCAGGATCCCGACAGGCAGAAAGCGATCACAAATCCTCAAGTCTCTCAATCGGTCAGAATTCATGAAATGCTGAAAATCAGGCGTTACCATTTCCCAGTCATACTGACAGGAAAGTAAGTCTACTCGGGTCAGAGCACAGTTGTCTGATCAGGTCTGCTGGTACCACGTGGGTTTTTGTTTTCGGGTTGCTGAGCTTGCAGGCGATGTTTGCAGTTAGGCACCTAGTAACATGGAATGGTTTGGGTGGGAAGGGACGTTAAAGACCATCCAGTTCCAGCCCCCTGCCCTGGGCAGGGACACCTCACACCAGCCCAGGGTGCTCCAAGCCCCGTCCAGCCCGGCCTCGGACACTTCCAGAGCTGAGGCATCAGCTGTGTCCCTGACACACAGCCCCTGCCCAGCTCTCCTGCAGCCCCTTCAGGCCCGGGGAGGCCGCTCTGAGGTCTCCCTTTGGGGAGCCTTCTCTCCTCCAGGCTGAACAGCCCCACCTCTCTCCACCTGTCCTCCCATGGGACGTGCTCCAGCCCCCGAGCAGCAGATGCCTGCGCAGAGGAGGTGTTAGGCAGTTATGCCACCCCGTGGGAGACAAGTCCCATAGGACCTTGTGTGGAAATAATCACCCTTCCTCTTGATGCAGAAACTGTGATCAAATATTCATTTGGATGAAATAAGAACTTAGAGACTTAAAATTTTTATTCCCAAATGCTTTTAGCCCCTAAATTCTCTTATCACGCATTTAGAGATGTGTTGTGTCTTGTGGGCCAGGTTTAGTGGTGGTCGTGCTCTCTTTCTAAGCCAGCTGTTGGTGGGGTTGCCCTGAGATTCAGGAGAGCTGAGCATCGGTGCTGCCGTTGCCGTTTGCTTCAAACGCAGTAAACCATTCTTTCGGGAGAATGTTTTTCTGCTCAGTGTTGCGTGGAGATGCTTCGCATTATTAATGTGCTGTGTTTGTTGGAGTTCTGAAAGCCAATCCCCATGAAGTTTTCATTTCACAGATCCCACCAACACAACTGTTCGAGAAGGTACGCTTTTATCCCAGAGAAGTCTTGAACCTGGGCCGCCTGCCAATTGGCTTCTCCTTCGGTAGCGTTCTGTTCCTGATCTGGGTCATTAAATATTAAAAGGCAAAGCGATTCTAAAAGCCAGCCATTTTTTGGAGATACTAAATAACTGTAATTTGTTTCCTAATAGATAGTTTTGTCCTTGTCACTGGGTCCACTCGATACAAAAATAAATGTGTGATGAGACAGGACTGTTCTGTAAATCTTGTACACGGCGTGTTTGCCCAGAGAACGAGCCTGAGAATATAAATTGGGTGAGGGTGGAAACAAACTAAAGCATAAGCCTGTATGGTGGTCTGGTAGCTCGGTTGCCCAAACTCTTCTCTGGCCCCAGTCATCGTCCCGTGGTGCCGCTGGGGGCAGGGATCTCCCAGGGTCCCGCCAGACGATTGCTGTGCTGTGAAGGCCTCCAACTACTTTGCTTTTATTAAATAAAAAAAAAGAAAAAGTAATATTTTCTGCTGTAACTCTTCTAATTTTCTTTTATCGCCAGATTTGTCTACAGGGGTTATTTACCAGAGGAGAGTTGCAGCTTGCTAGAATGTAACTTCCTGAAATTTTAAGAAAGGCAACCTAGACAAATTTACTGTAGTTGTGAAACCTTAATGCTTCACTGTGGTTTATCTTGTTTAAAAGGATCACATTTCCTAATGATTTTTTTTTAATTGGAAAAGATACTTTTCTTTCAAAGTTAAGAGAAAAAAATTGTGTAGAAACTGATTTAATATTTACCTTAGATGGGCAAAATTGTAGCTTTGAGCATGCTAAGACCTAACTGGTGGCGGGGGTTGTTTTATAGGCAGTTATGGGCCTCTAACTTTTGTACCTGGGAAGAGGAAACCTGTTCTAAGGTGCTGCCTGACCCACAAAGAAAGTATAACCATCCCCTTCACCCCAATATAATAATCGTATCGCTGTCAATGCTTATGTTTTTTTGTGCAATAGGTGGTATTTTTATAAAAGCCCAGCCTTCCGGATCTCGGGAAGAAGGCGGCAGCGTGTGATAGGTGCTGGATACTGGTTTCTGAGCAGAGCTTGAGTGTTTTGGATGTCTGATCTATGGCTCCGGAACACATTGGGTTGTAATCTCTCACTAAACCAGTCTGTAAGTGAATTCAGAGGGAATTAAAGTAATAATTAATGTGCCTGAAGCGTGTCGCAAGTTAAATATGGCGTTGTAGAGTCCCTACAAAAAGATGAAACGTGACTCCTTAAAGACTGTAAAAAACAAAAGAGCCTGGGTTGTGCCTTGCCTTAGTGTCTGTCTCCTGTATCTCTTTTAGTGACAGTCCTTTCTCGACCGTTTGTTATGGGAGGAGAATTAGCCTTAATGTATTATTTGGTTTTTTTCAAAGCGTCTCACAGCAGATAGCCTGTGTACAGAAAAGTACATTTACATCGATGCATGATTAAATATTTGTACTGCATCACAGCCTGCATGCTTAAAAATACACAGGTAATCTTTTCCTGATACTGGCAACTGCATTTTTGCCTCTAAACATGTGTCTCTTCCAAGCCTCACCTGCCAAGGAGAACATATTGCCCTGGACAGGCATGAACTGATGGTGAGATTTTCATCCCTCCTTGGCCCACACTTGCTAAATCAAGGTCGTCAGGCTGACAGGCAGGTTGACGGTGTCCTGGTTTGCATCTGACTTTGCAAGTGGCTTTTATTATCCTTTGCTGTCATGAATTAGCCAACAGAGCAAGAAAGAAAGCAAGAAGTGATGCAGGCAAGTTGGTCAGCAGTGGTCTTGGAAGTCCAGCTGGGGACTGAGAAACTTCCCTGAATCTTGGAGTATTTGCATGGCCTTTAGCAGCTGCTGAGCTGTTGAGTGTTCTCCTTTGGGCTGGCCATAGCTCACGTGCCCTCCTCTTGAATCCCCAGTCTTATCCTCTGAGGCTGGTAATACTTGAAAAACACTGAGAAGTGATTCTACTTTTTTTAAATTTTGTTTTTAATGCTGCAAATCTTCTATTTCCCAGGTCAGCGTCTTAAAAGTGCCCAGCATCTACTTGGAAGAGGAATCTTGACTTAATTCGCAGAAAAGAAGTTTGGCTGTGAAAACTCATTGTCTTACATGGACACAGTACGTGTCTCTGAGTGCGGAGTCTGTCTTCAGAGAGAGCTTGGAGAACCCACGCTGGTGGGTGCTGGCTCCTGGGCGTAGCAGTGCCGCTGTGCTGTCTTGGGGCTGCTGCTGCAGGCCTGCGGCACCGAAAAACAGCTTTTCTGTTGCCTATTGAATGCTTGGGATGAGAGGGGTCTGAATAATAATTTCTTTGTTATGCCTTGAATGCATTTGAAGCAGCAGCTATAGATGTCCTGTAGATTTCCTCTGGCTTGTTCAGAGGTCAGGTTAGGTTCTCTGGCCAGAGCACAAATAATTGCTGGAAATTTAATTTTCTGTGTGCTGCCCTGCAGTCACAGAAGGCCACCCCACTGTTCCTGCACAGCGGGTGTAGCCAGAGCGTTTGGTTTGCTCTCATGTCTACCAACAGATGCTTGGACAGCCGTTTAAAAATTATCATCTCCCTCCTGCTTGCCAGCCGTTGGCATAGAGCATGCTTGTTCCCACAGAATTTTCTGTCTCTGGTGTTTGGCCCGCTGTGCCCCAGAGATGTGAGCTGCCGTGGGGCTTTGCCTGGGAGAACACACACTTGTGCTTGTGCTGAGTGGAGCCTGGAGATGTCTTTATGCACGTTTACAGCAGGATCAGAGCGGAATTGCTAATTTCTGTAACACTGAAATGAGCAGATATGTGATCCATGTGACTGTCTCTAAAAAACCAGTTTATTTCCAGCTGCTGTCAAGCCCATTAGTTCTTACCTTGTTCTGGTGTCTCTTGCAATTAGTTGTTACTTTTGCCTCGCAGTGTTCCCTGGGAAGTGTGGCAGCGTTGTCCGGTAAGGTCTGGGTGACTTTGGAAAGCTCTAAGGATGTTTAATGAAAAACCCACCAACATCAGACAAAATGAAATTTCTTGTGGCTTAGGCATTTTTGAAAGCCTCTGTGCCGGGACGTTGCAGGAGTTGTGCAAAGGGCATAACACTGGCAGCATGCTATTGCACTGGAGAGGAGTGAGAAAATGCAATGAGGAGACTGACATGCTTAGCAGGAAGGTTGTGCGCTGTGCCACTCGAGAGAGAATGATGTTACGAGAGTGATGGTAGCTGAGCACAGACAGAACCTTGTCTTTCTCCCCTACTAAGCACTGCTGGGCAGATTTCGGTAGCAACCTCCTGAAACACTTCAAGGCAGTAACAGCATGAAAATGAGGAAATTCTGCACCTTGGTCAGGCACGTGCACGCGTTGTAGTGTGCTCTTTGTTTCATGAGCTTTAATGTGCCGTTGTTAAGGATGGTGGTGAATGAGAGGATGCTGCAGCCCGGTCCCAGGCATGCTTGGTGGGATGATGCTGGTGGGAATCCGGGATATTTCTGCTCCTGTCAGACGAAGTTGTAACAGTCTGTGCTGATTTCAGCCCAGCTGCTGTGTAGACCAATATGCTGTAGAAAATCAGAGCACAGGGACCGGTGGCTTAAGCGTTTGGCGGAGCTTCATCCCTAGGACATGGGTTCGTTTACCCAGTTTGAGATTGGCAGCTCCAGCCTGTGTTAGTTTCAGCCAGAGAACCACAAACAGGGGAAGGGAGACTGTGACCTTCCTGATGTCCTCAGTGGAACTAGGGCAATTGAAGCGGTGCTTGCTTAGTTCTAAAGAGTCCATATATCTACAGTGTAGTTCTTCCTCTTAATCTCAGGGGGTTATTTTGTCCTAAATAATTGTGAGCGCAGTGATGCCAACTGCTGCATATTCTTGCAGAGTGAATTGCTGTGGGTGCTTCCAAGCAGAGCATACGAGTGTCTGAAAAGATCGAGTAGCAAGCAAACATTGCCATAAATAAATTATGAACCACTGAAAAAGGCATGATGAGGCATATCTGTATATTCAGAGGCCAGAAGGCACCTGTGTTATCCTCTTGCCTGAGCTCCTTTGTGACACCGTTTGTTTGGTTTCCATGATTTAATTGCTGCCCTGGCTGAGGCTCTGGAGGGCTCTGGGGCTCGCAGCCTTCACTGCTGGGGTATCAAACCAGCCTGAATCTGGTCGGCTGCTCCCCTCCACTTGCACGCCTACGTGTTTGGGTTAGGCATAATTTCTAGAGTAATTGGCTTGAGCTTACCCAGCAGTGTGCCTGGCGTACGTTCGGGATGAGCCGGAGGAGCCGGGCAGCGTCCCTGTGGAGGGAGGGCTCTGGGCCGAGCTGTCTGTGCACACGCTGGGCTGAAGGGGAAGGTCAGTGGCAAAACTCCCCTGTAACTGCCTGGGTGTGTGTTGAGGTTTTCGTGTGTCTGGGCAGGTTGTACCTGTCTTTCCACAGTGGAGAACCTCTGTGTGGCTTGAATTTTGTCTCTGGTGTCACCCGCTGTCCCTCTGTGCTTTGGTTTGACTGCTGTCCCCCTCCCCGCCAGGACCATTTTTCATTTGGTACCCCTCAATGGCCAGCAGATGCCCTTCATCACGTTCCTGCAGCCCCAGGGAGCCGCAGTCCCTGGCAGCGCAGTGGGCGCGGGGCGAGGAGAAGTCTCCCCAGCGCGGGGGGATGCAAGTGATGGAGGAGCAGCACTCCTCGGCTGGAGGTGGGAGTTAAAAAGATCTCCAGTACAAAAGCTCCCTCTTTGGAAGAGCCTTGCATTTTAATTTAGTTTTGAAAGCCGTGCAGGCTTTGGAAACTCTGCCTGACACTATCTGGGAAAGAATATCGCTACACTTTTTATTCTAAAGACACTTTAATTAAACTCCCATCATGAAAACAATTAGACCAAATTTGCCGTACTTAACTAGTCAATAATTTAGTAGTTGGATCTCATTAATAGACTTCTCCCTGTGACTGTGCTGTAGCGATGCAGCATTGCCAGCTGCGTGCTATAGAAATCAATCAAAGATCAATATTTTCCGTGAGCCTCCCTTTTTTTGCCCCTACAACGGTGAGCCTGCAAGATGAATAAAGAGACCCGAGCCCGAGCAGCTGAGTTCCGTGGTGGTTTTGCTGCTGACATCCGTCCTGTGGTTGGACGGAACGTCTTGTGTTCTCCAGCTCTTCCACTCGAACTCCGCACGTCGGCCTTCGCAGGAGTGGCGTGGAAATGAGAGGTGGCCGGGGTGCCGGGCGGGCTGTGGCGCGGGAGCGGGAGCGGGTGCCCTCTCCTTGGCTCCCACTGCCTCCCTCTGCCTGGGGAGCCCTGAGGACTCTGAACGGGAACCCGTGTCTTTCCCTGCGGCTGCAGCTGCTCTCCTGGTTCTGGGGCCGGCTGTGCTTCCCCTCCGGGCCTCTCTCTGCGTCCAGAGGAGCGACGGCAGCTCCCACCTCGGCGTGGTCGTGACAAACCTCCCGTCACGCCGTGTTCCATCTCTCATTGTATTTGCCTTTGGGATCGTCGTACAACACATGTGAATGCGCGGGAGGAGTCCCTCACTCGAGTACCAGACACGGGCTCTCTGACGTGGTGTTTGCACTTCATCTTTACCGAGCAGCCACAAAATCAGAGGGTGTTGTGTTCCTGTTTCTCAGGACAGACTTTACACGGGGGGGCAGAAGAGCAGTTACAGGGGCACGTTTGCTCAGCTGTGCGTTGGAGGCATTTGCTCAGTTTAAAACAAAATGTGAGAAGTCATTTATTACCTGAATTTCTTCCCTGAATTCTAATCTAATTTTTTTCCAAGTGACCAGATCATCTAGGCTCAAAATTAAATTGATGTTTTAAGTCTGGATCCTTTACATCTTTTAATTGTTGAAAAAAAATACTTGACCTTTTCTTTTGTCTACAGAGAATATGCAGAACGAAAATGGATTTAGTTTTATTATGGTAATAGTTTTCTTTCAAATATGTTTTAAAATACAGCATGTATGACTGTATCAGTTTCTGTAACTCGTTCTTATTCCTGATTTCCCCCAGGCATTGAAGCAGTTCTTCCTAATGCCTCATTGTACCAGCTAATGCTGTAATAATAATTTGCAGTTCTGTAGCACCTTTACACTGAAATAGTCAAAAGCAGTCAACATGAATTTATATCATGTCACGCATTTTTCTCCAGTAATGTTAGATTTTTTTTCTCTTTTTTTTGGCAGCTTGATGTATTTACAATAGCCGCAGTCAATCTCCCTGTAGCGATTCTGTGTACTTCAATAGTTCTGTCTTTCAGTAAGAATTATGAAAGAGGATAAAAGCTATCCAGCTACCCAGGCGAGCATCCCAAGGGAGTTCGTATTCAAAGGCCTCTCGGTTCGGGGAGTCATGTCATATTGATAAACCGGGTTTAACAGCGATGTCTCCTCAAGCGCTCGTTGGGGAGCGATGCTGCCTGGAAGTCTCGCTCTCTGGAAGCGCGTGTCTCCCAGACATCGGGGGTTCAGGTGGTGCTGTGCGGGCTGTTAAAATGTACACCTGCTCATAAAGGAGTATTCAGCTTAATCTTTTTAATGAGGAAGTAAAGGGTTGTGTTGGGTTTTTTCTTTTCTTTTCTTTTTCTGCACCTCACTTTGTGTCTTGTTTCATATGAACAAAAGCACAGGTATGTGCCTGGAAACATGGCATTTTCATGGCTGGCTGCATGCATCCTAGGTGCTGCAAGACTATAGTGAGCCTGTATTTACCATTTTTGGTCGTGGTTTAGATATCTAATAGAGAATATTGCTTTTCAAGTGAGCTTAGATGCCCACAGTTCAGTTCATGCCTTATGCCATTATTTAGTTTTTCATGGAGATATTTAAGTATTTGTGGGGACCAAGCAGTTAGTGCTGTTGAGGTTTTTTTGTCATTTTGGTTTTTTCTTTTTGTTTCGATTTGGTTTCTAAGTGGCCTTCCCAGCATCCTGTCTTTTCTCCCGCTGGATGTGGCAGGTGCTGGAGCGTGGAGCCAGGGCAGCGTCCCCGTCCCTTCGGGCACTCGCCTCTGCTGACGCGGGGCACGACAGCCCCGACTGCCCGCTCCTGCTTCAGGAGCTGCTTTTGGAATCTGTGCCCCAAGAGCTGTAGATGGAAATGCATCTCAGACAGCATGGCTGGGTTTTGATTTGCTTATTCTTGATAACTCTACAATCTTTTTGTTGTGGCTTTAAAAAGAAAAAAAAAAAAGACCAAAGTCGACAGCTCTGCTAGTGTAAGCAATGACCCTGGGCAGCGGAACGCGTCTTGCCGGCTTATGACAGCGCAGAGCTAGCGGATAAAACAAACCAGCTCACAGCGTCTCTACAATGCTGTGTTCGAAATCCTTTAGCAAGTCTGGCTTTATCTGCAGATCTGGGAAAAAGAAAAATACAAGCGCACCAGGTCTGGTATAAATGTGCAGTCTGGCCTCCAGAACATCCGTCTCCCTAAGGCAGCAGCTCTGTCTCTGCATTTCATTTCTTCTGAGCTCTCAGACAGAGTTCCTGTTGCAGCTTGGCCATACAGGAGTTTTGAGGCACATTTTACCCAAATGTAATAAATGGCAATACAAAGATGATATTTAAAGTTTTAAAGCGTGTGTGGCACGAATGACAACGTGATAAATGTTCTCCTGGCTTCCACTTGCTTTTTGTCTTCCAGCACCTGGTCTGCGTCCTTCCTACGGGCCTGACCGAAAAGGCAGTGCTGCTCTTGCACCTGCTGTCAGTGCTTGGAATACGTCAGGGTGTTAGCTTCAAAGCCAGATCATGATTCCCGCTTTTTCTGCTGGGTCCTGGCAGCAGGTCTGCTCCATCCCCCTGCTGGGAGAGGCACAGGTGAGATAAGGGAGTGGGGAAGGGCTGGGGAGAGGAGAGGCAACGGAGGAGGGGAAAGCTGTGTGAAAAGCAGGAGAAAATACTGTGTGAATTGTTAAACTTTGTGAATGACTACAGGGGAGCCCACGTATTCACACAGTCAGTACTAAATATCTTTATTTTATAGAAAAGGAAGTATAAGTTACTACTCAGGGACACCAAAGGCACTGATCTTTTTAATCATTGTTTTTGTAATTGAGGTATGAGCCTATCCTGCAGGTGGTGGGGTTTTTTTAAACGCCTGATAGAGCAACAGTGACATTTTGTGGCTCCTCATATTTGTTCTATTTTGCTTGTTTTATTCCAACTCTGAACAAAAATATGGGAGAGAAAGTTCTCCTGCCCTTCTTTTGTTTGTAGGAGTCACAGTACGTCGGGTGGAAATTACAGCATTTATGATTGTTTTTTTATTACCTGTTCTGAAAAGGTATTATTGAATGATGCAACCACTTTATTGCCAATCAAACTTTCCACATGAATAAATTCAGAAAGAGTGAGAAGGTATGCTTTAAGTGAGCAGATATCCTGGTACCAGCACAGCCTGTTCTGGGTCTGTTGGCGAGAGCCCGGATTCCTTCAGCACGGGGAAGGGATGCTCTGCAGCTGCGCTCGAAGCCCAGGAGAAGTTTCCAGCCCAGGAGGGGTTGTGGTGGCTCCTAAAGTTACCCCTTGTGTGTGTGAGGTTTTAAAATTTGTTTAACAATTAGTTTGTATGTGCCTAAGTTGTGTTAGTGTGAAGCCGGACGGACGACAAAGTTGAGTGATTTTGAGGAGCGCTTGTAGCAAGAAACTTTTCGTAGCTGGTAGATGTTTTACCTGTTGTCTCTTACCTGTTGCAGCGTTTCTGTCGTTCACATTTCCTGGTTTCTTTTTTAGATTCCTCTTGCTTGACTTGAATATATAAGGAGATGTGAATTAAAGGCCACAGTGTAGTATTTGTTAAGTGATGGAGCTGAGCTCAAATAACGAATATTTAACTGAAAAATAATTTCATCATGGTTACAAGAAGAATGAAAGGTATTAGATGCTCTTTTCAGAGACAGCATAACGTTTTCAGCTGGTCCGTTAAAATGTCCTGGCGATGGAGACGCGGTGTGTGCCCTGCAGCGTTACAGGCCGGTTACACTTGTCCTGCGCGTTGCTTAGCCTCTTGTTTAAAACTTGCAGCACAGGGTGAAGATGAGGAGTGCGTTACAGATCTCTGTGAGCCCGCGCTGGCTCCCAGCAGGGTTTCCAGACCCGAAGGCAGGCTTGCTCGGTGAGCCTGCGGTGCTGGAGACTGCCCTGTGTGCAGAGCCGTGGGCAGGCTGGCTCCGTACCTCCACCTTTGGAAACCAGACTCTGTGTGGCCTTTCCGTCAGAGAAGCTTTCAAGCTGCAGCTGTGGAGGTGCAGAGTTTAATGGCAGGCAATGTTTGTTCTGCATTTCAAGTGCATCTTTGCACTCCAAGCAGTTTAAATTTAGCCCATCTCCTGGGGCTGAGATTTAAGTGTTTGAACTTTAGTTGAAAGGAATATATTGATTAGGCTTTGATTTAGTTGTTAAAACTGGGTAGTGACTTGTACCTGCCCTTTTGCATTTTATTCATTTAATGGAGTCCTCTCTCATTCCCTTTTTCTTCGTCAACACCAGTTTGCCTGAAAGGCTGCTGTGCTGTGAGGAGAAATAAAAGAAAAAGCAGTTGTCAGACTGTGAGTGTAATTGATTCAATAAGTAACATTTTTAAATTCCCTAGGCAAACCTCCCAGTCTTCACTTATGTCAATTAGTGCCTCATTCTGTAAACAGTGGCACGTCCCATTTAGGCTGATAGACTAAGGTAGCCAGCTTATTGCCTTCTACACAGAATAGGTGTGGAAGATGAACTGTTTTTCATAGATATAAAATATCAAGTCCATTTTTTTTTTTTGTGGAGATGTGAAAAAAAATTCTCTGGACCTGTTAAAGTTGTCTATTTTTACTTCCTCTCACAGTGACTCAAACTGAGAAATTGTATTTCTTTCATCTTGATGAACAGAGAGCATACTAGGGTGAGCCTGGGCCCCGCAAGACCTGACCAAGCATCAGCTTTGCTCCTGGCACACCCGATTGCTCGTGAAGAACACAAGTAGTGTTTTTTCCGTTTTGAAGAGGAATGTACCAAGGTGCAGGGACGAGAAGTGGCTTGGTCCAAGCAAAGCAGTGGCAGAACTGGAGTGAAATGTGTGACGTGGTCAAGTGCCCTGGCTTTGTGCAGCCCCTTATTATTTTTTACGGGAAAACCATCAATCTGCCGCCGTGTTAGGCTTAATACTCTTCCAAAGTTTCTGAATAGTATGTGCATTGAGATGGCTTGTGTGTCCTATGTTTCATCCTCTCCTCTCTGTTAACGTATCACGAGTGAGATGATCTTGGTAAAATAAAATGTTGGTTCTATCTAAGGATTTTTACTCCAAAGCAGTATCTTCAGGGGTTATCTGTGGAAGGCAGGTTTGGTCAACTCTTAAACTGGCTTACAGTACAAGAGCAAATGGCTCTCGATTACCTCCTAATAAACGTTCTTCTAAAACCTGTTGTCTCTGCTTTTACAGAGGTGCCCGCGCCCCCCATGCTGGTTCTTCACAGCTCAATTCTGGAGGTCGAGGCTTTTTTGCAGAGAAACGCAGCTGGACTGTGGCAGCTGAGTCGAGGCGGCGGTAGCTGAGTCGAGTCGCTGCTCCCCGCTGGAGCCGCTCCTTACTTCAGTTCTGGTTGCCATGTTGGAAGTATTTGGTTACTGTACCCCTGCCAGCATAATTTTTCTGAGCTCTAAAGCTGTGCCTCAATACAGGGTTTGCATATGTTTGAATTCTTTCGGAAAGTGTTTCTCTGGCATGGCTTCTG